CGCCAACAGAATTCGTTACAAAGGTACTGCCCATCTATGTAGTTGGTTTTGACGGTAATAAGCTTTTCACATCGAGGTTCAATGCTAAGTGTTTTCACGGGATAATTGGTATAGATCGGTATTTCACTATTAGAAGTTCTTAAAATTTTGTTTTTTAGGTCAATGGTGCATCCTAATTCCTGGAAAAGATCCATGCCTATAATTCCTATAAATTTTGGATCGAAATCGAATACTAAAAATTTATGAAAATTGTCCGTATTAAATTGGGGCGGTAAAGGTAAATAAGCCACATGTTCATGTTGGGTACTCGCATGTGCGGTTCTTACTATAAATGGTTCATATTCTACGCAGTATTCAAAGATTGTATCTTTTAAGGCATTAGGTGATATCATGCTATGAGTTGCACCAGTGTCTAATAAAAATTTACCTTTATATTCTGGGAGGTCTATATACGGGAGACGCCCTTTACCATAATTATTTAACTGAACCGTATAAATTAACTGTGGTCCTCCTGCCCTATGGTCTCGGGAAAATCCTGGTAGTTTGATTGTCCCATAGGTACCTCTGAGTATTCATGTTCCGAATATTGTGTATTATAGCACTCACCTTGTTCGTAGTAGGGGTCGTAGTTGGTCTCGGTATGGTCCTCATTTGTAGTATAAAAAAAATCTTGCGTAAGATTGGGCTTAACGGGCTTGTCTACAGACCGCATTGTGACATCGGATACCTTCTGTGTAGGTTACACCTGTGGGTGTGGTAGGTTTTGCTGCTGTCTAAAATTTCCTGAACTCCTAAAATTACCAGAAGTCCTAGGTGTCACATTACCTGATGGAGCCTTGTTTTTCCATGGGACCATGGACTGGACCCACTGTTGTCTCTGCTCAGGAGAGCTATTATTATTACGTTGTGTTGTGTTAGAATCGGGGAACCTATACTGGGGTGTGTTGAACCTAAAAGGATGACTAAGTTGATTTGTAGGCAGATTCATCCTAGGTGTTTCTTTTGGTTTGACTTGCATTTGAGGAGAACTTAAGTTATTATTGAATTTATTATAGGCTAATCTCGCTTCCTCTTGCCTAGCACTGACTATGGCTTCTTCTAAAGTTGTAGGTTTAGTTATACGAACGCCAACGGACACATGAAAATCTCTAAGTTATTGGTGTATTGGTCTATTACCATGCTTTCGTAATACGATTTATCGCTGTGCTTACCCACCGATTGTAGCGTGTCTAGAATATCTCTCAAGCGTTTGCCAAATGTCTCTGAATCTTCGCTTTTATTACGGTGCACGCGTGAGTTCCTGCATTACTTGGATTTCGTTTCGTGGTTCGCCTAGTCTACGTATTAACGCGTTTTTTATAGCCTGCCAGGTGTCGAGTGACTCTTCATACGCAACGACATCAATCGCGGTACCGCTCAGCCTACTCTTGATGAGACAAATAAACGCCGGGTTCTTTCTAGCATTCTCGTCAAGTAACCCAATAATACCTTCTATCTCGCGTATGAAATAATTAAGGGTCTTAGGGTTACCGTCATACTTGGGCATAAGATCCCTGACGAATTTTAAGTTGGCAACGTCTGCGGCTTCCATCGCCATTATTTTTATTTATACGTGTCTGAGTTACGCTACTGCCTATACCTCAATATCAATATAGCGTGATGATAACGCTAAAATTGTAATAATACACTAAAATGTTAATTACTAATACAAATGAAAGTCTATCGCGATTATAGCACAGAGACAATCACAGTAACACGATATGCGTACATACATGTAATATTATACGAATTGATCGGACACAACACTGAACGACACTGAGGGCCACACCCTTCCCGCGCGACAGCTATCGGTCAACTGGCGATCGAGAGAGAGAGAAGTGGGAAAGAGAGCGGGGCAACTAGCGAACGGGAGAGAGGGAGAAAGAGAGAGAGATTGCGATAACATGGGGACGGTGACGGCGCGCCATTGCTTCGCTCGGGCCGCAAGCGCAGCCCCACGTACGGTTTGCACAAAAACGTTTAACCAACAGTTAAGTTACGGCGATCGAGAAATTAATTAAAAAGAATTTAATTTTAATGTTTATTGTTACAATGGTTCTACAAGACTGATTATAATAATAAGTAATATCTAATTCTAACTTATTGCTAAATATGCACTTTTGGCTACACGTGCTGATCGTCCGGAACTTGGTCAGCAATCATGGGTGCGGCGCATGTCCATCGATTGCTTAACTTATATTTTTGTTAAAAATAAAAGTTGTTAAAATTGTTATTTTTTTTTTTTGCTAAATGTGTCAGTTTATTGATTCCCACCAACCTCATAAAATATTTAGAGCTAATTTATTAACACCTTATATAATGGTTTTTGTAGTCAAATCCGCATACATTACCTAACCTTGGTTCGTGGTGACAGGGCCACTCGATCCCCGCGGAGCCGACGCTGGTGAACATGTCCCGGTCGGAGCTGTCGTTCGCGCTGCTGGTGGAGGAGGCGCTGGTCCGCGTGGAGGCGCCGGCGCGGCGCCAGCTGTGCGTGGAGCTGCTGTGCGTGCTGGCCACCATCCTGCGCCGCAACCCCGAGCTGTACCTGCAGCACGCGCTGCACGTCGACCGCCTCGTCGACGACGCGCAGCTCACCTTCGCCAAGGTACTCGCGGCCACACATCATTCACTTTTTTGTACCCTGCTATATCTGTGATCACGGACACCTACGATAAGTAGGTTTGCGTTAAGGTTTAGGCTATAAGAATAAAACATCTGACTTCGAATGAGGTGACTATATTGCGTACTGTTTAAAAAAATTCTAAGTACTAGCACGTGGTTTGATATATGATACTCTGGCTGCCTTGTATATGGATGGCCTAAGGCATATAACATGATACTGAAGCTACCGAAACGTATGTTGCATGGTAAAATGCACACTTCTACTTACTCGATTAAAAGGTGTAATATAGTGATGTGTGTGACTCCGATTTCCAGGATAGCGGAGTGACGGACAGTAACGCGCTGAGCAGCGCGGCGCCGGGCGTGTCGGTGGGGTACCTGGCGCGCGCCGTCGTCAACAGCGTGCTGCAGGGCGCCGCGGCCGCGCAGCTCGAGCCCGCCGCGCAGCCGTCCTGTCTCGTGTCCTGACGCACTCGCCCTACACCTTACTGCCAACACTCCCACAAACATTCATTTCTCAAGGTTGACTTGTGTATTCACACTTGATCTTTTACTGGAGTAAGTCGACGCTGAAGACTCAACTTACGAACATTTTATAATTATCTCAATTTTATATGTATTGTGTGATCGTTCTTGTCAGCCGGGCAAGACTAATGTTATTACAGCCATTTATCTTTTATATAGGTATATGTTAATTGTTTTATCGCGACTGAAATTTAGTTAGTGCTCTCGTAGCACAAAGTTAAAAGATATAATCTTTTCATAATGTAGTTGTTACTATTCAATTTTATATAAAATTCAATACTAATATATTAGTTTAGGTACAGAATCTGTTGTTAGTTATTATTTTAGGTAAGTGAAATTGTTATATTATTTTTATGCAAGTATTAAAATACATTAACGAAAGACATGTGTATGCATTCCTCGTTGAACCGTGATTTTGAACCTTGGCTTCGCTAGCATCAGCTTGATCTAATTCGCGACGGCGTTAGAGGGCCGTATAGTTTCAGTTGTTTTACAGTTTTGTAAATCTGCCTATAAATTCTTGTAGCATATCAAATACAGTCATCATGCGAAACTAAACGTTAATTTATAAACACAGGCAAGGAATTTATTTATTTGCAAAATACATAGGTTTACATTACGAAACATATAAAAGTACTTATCATTATTTGAACATAATGAAATTATGAAAACTTAATTTTACATTGTATGTATATGAACTAATATTTTATTTTTATAAGAAGTGTATGTTTTTTCGACCTATCCTTAGATGTAGAGTCATTCATTGCAAATATGTTACGAAATAAATATGAATTCTGCATTTCGGAATATAAAATGTTGCCTACACATAGTTACATGCATACAAAAGAAATATTGTTAAGATGAACAGCAACTTTGATTTGTTCATCTAAAATATTTGTTGTAAAAATATATTGTTTTGTGAAAGTCTGATCAGGATTTTATAGAACATAAAACATTTTTTATGGAAATAAAGATGTAATATAAACAAGTTTTCTTTGATTTTTGTTTATTATAAAATAATAAGGTTCTCCCCTAACAATCAGGGTAAATAAATAAAGGAAATGAAAAAACGATAGGTAGGTGCCCACAATATTAAAAAACAAGACAGTAAATTCATGTGTGTTTAAGAAAAAAAGAAACAGGCTTAAAATAAAAAAAAGCTTGTAAATAACATTTGGATACAATGTTTACTTGAATACTCTAGTTACTTCTTTATATGTTGTGAAATATTCACTGATATTTTATTTTTATCACAAAATATTTATAGTTTCGTGCGTAATTCTCTAATATATTGATATAATTGTCTTTTATCTGGTTGAACTTTTTAAAATTTAGTTCTCAATATATAAACTAGTATCATACAGCATTACTAGTTGATAAATAAAAATATTCTCTGTTCTACAATTAGGATGTTTTATTATATAAAAACAATCACATATGTATTCACAGGTAACGAAAAATCCTTCACACAAAACAGACTTTGTTCATACCATTGCACTCATTTCACTACTAAAATAAATTAAATTGGCAGATGGCTACTATAGTCCATTGTATATTTTATTATTTGGTGTTTGTTTAAGTATTTTTCGTAGTGCTGAAACAAAAAAAAACAAGTAGATTAGATATTAAATATTCTTTGATGTAGATACATCAGAATAATATTGTTGAAATGTAGTATTATGAAATACCTTCTTTTTCCTCATCAGTAAAGTCTTGTTTAGGGAAATCAATGTCGAATGTGATGTACAGATTTCCATGTAGGTTGTTATTTTCGAAGTTAGGCATGCCCTCACCCTTCTTGCGGACACGGGCACCAGCCCATGTCACTTTGTCACGAGTTACAGACACTTTGTGACCATCCAAGTGTACAAGTTCCATTGTAAAACCAGTTAATGCATCCTGTAAGACAAATGTTTATTGTTCAATTTGATGGCATTTCCTCTTATGATCCTCGCGAAACATGAGCATTGACTACATATAGAATGTACCATTCTTTCACAAACATGTATAACAAAAGTGTAAAACTATGTAATGACTGCTCACTATTTCAAGATAAGAATTTAATCTACATGTAAAACCGGTTCACCTGTTACACTCATATTATAACTTACATAGTTAACTTGTTGGAATAGTTTAGGCTGAGATCTGATAAGAATTTTAGCTAAGCTATTAACAAAGACTGTTATAAAATTACAAACCATTTTTATTACATACTACAGTATTAAATTTCATTATAATGAAAATGATTTGTTACCTTTGTTTATAATAATATTTCTTTTCGAATTATAATAGAATTTATTTTTTATTGCATAAATGAAAGTATTTTTTTCTTATCGTAATTTATAGATGACTTATCACAAACCTGTAGAGAAATTGTGACATTGGTGTAGAGATCGTCTCCTTTACGGGTGTATTGTGGATGCCTTTCTGTTGTGAATACCATGATCAGGTCACCAGGCTCTCCATCCATGTGTGGTTCACCTTCTCCACGTAATTTGGACTTGTGGCCATCTGGTGCACCAACTTCTACCTGTACAAATTAATTATAGGTTTGTTTTTAAAATTATTATTTCTTCTAATTTCATACACACATTGTTTATTTAATTTTTTAATTTTAGAGTTCTACATACAGCTGATGAAAGATATTATAATTTTAGATATTAATAATAATTTTCCTTATACAACCTCATTGAATATTAACTCGTCGAGTACCGGTTTTGTAGACACAATTATAGAACAATAGGTTGCGGTCACCGGTGACCGCTTGGTGTTTGACATTTTAAATAACAAATAGTAATATATTATAAAGGTTATCAACATAATTATATGAATGGATTAGTTATCAACAATATCTGGCATTTTTACCTTTTAAAAAAATTAGGTACTATATACATACTTTTGTTTGATATATTTGATACATTGAGATGTAATTATGTATTGTTTTTTGTAAAAATACTTCAAAGTTACCTCAATCTCCAGTAGCCTCTCTTCATTAACCAATTTGACATTAGGACATTCGTCACACACAGTCTGTTGCATCATCTGGAACCGACCCGGGCCAAGGTTCCTCGTCACCATCTCCTGTCTGCAGTTACATTTCCGTGTCCCTGATGCTGGTTTGATAACAGGTTTGTTTCTAGTTATCTGAAAATTTTAAAGTAATAAACAAGCTTTTAAATAGTATAGTGTATCGAAATAGGTTTCTGTTATTTAGTTGTTTTTATATGGAATAAGAGGAGGAAGAGGATAAATCTTCTCATTGTTACTTACCTCTATGAAGTTTCCATTATATAGTTCTTCAAGAGTGACAGTCAGCTCCATAATAATATCCGCCCCTCGAGGTGTTTCATGGTGTTGTGGCTCACCACCAAAATGAAAACCGAAGTCGCCGAAAAAACTTGCGAATGGGTCATTGTTATTCATCATACCGTCTTTTTTAAGACAGTCCTCGCCACAACGATCATAAAGCTCTCGTTTTTCAGGATCCGAAAGTGCTTCGTAAGCTGCTCCGAGGTCTTGGAACTTCTGTGAGGCGTCAGGGTCATCTTGATTCTTATCTGGATGTAATGCTTTTGCTAATTTTCTGTAAGCTTTTTTGATTTCATTTGTAGTCGCGGATCGAGATACTCCGAGAATTTGATAGAAGTCTCGACCGGCCAACGTCAATACTAATGCAGACGTCAGATATATTAAACAAATTAATGCTGTATTACTATTCATTTTGTTAACTTTACACCTAGGAACTAATTTAGAAGCTAAGTAGCTTAAAATTCAAGTAAAAATCTGGAATGATACTCCTCAACACATTTCGTCTTTTGACAACAGCATTACTAGTTTGACAAATTGTATAGAAGACAATTCGTCCGCTTACGATTGGTCTGAAACTTGACACACGAAAAATGTTTCATATGTAGTGATAATTGAAAATTTCACTCTTGTCTCCTTGAAAATAAAGTTTAAATCTGCGTAAAATGTGGATTTTGTATCATCCAATCATTTGAAGACTCGTAAGCAAAAAGTTACTAGATTTAAAAAAAATCCATACTTGCAACATTAACAGCTAAACTTTTGATGCTGGCACTTTCTTTTACGACTCTTTAAATTTTTTTTAGCAATTTAATTAATATTTAATTTTCGTAGCTAAAATAACAGTAAAATGTATTTTCATTTTGCATTTGCATATTGGACATCAGTGACTTACTGAAAATATATTTTCTCTATTATAGATTTTTTATCTATCTTCGTTTGGTTGCTTTTTGAAAAGTCATTGTATTGCTGTTGACAGTGACATTTTGAAGCATTGCTTGCAGAAATACATTTTTTGTTTCGTCGGCTTTCTCACAAAATCTGTTCAATACCAATAAAGCAAAGTTACTAAATCTATAAACTACAAATATGGCTTCAATTCTTGTACCTGAAGTACCAGCTCCAGGATTTTCCTTTGAAAACTGCCAACGGTAAGGTCCTAATAGTTTAGAAGCAGCAAAACAGTACAGTCGTGACTCGCAGTTTTATACTTATTCACTTTATTATTTACAGCAATGCATTTTTGGCGCAGAAAGGATTCCCAGCGCCCACGGCCACCAAAACCGGTACAACTATCGTAGGTATTATATACGCGGATGGTGTGATTCTCGGCGCTGACACCCGAGCCACGGAGAACACTGTAGTGTCTGATAAAAACTGTCAGAAAATTCATTACCTTGCCGGAAACATGTACTGTTGCGGTGCCGGTACTGCCGCCGACACCGAAATGACTACACAAACAGTTGCATCACAGTTGGAGTTGCAGCGATTGCATACGGGGCGCACGGTACCCGTCGAGACTGCTGCAACTCTACTGAAGCGTATGCTCTTCCGTTACCAAGGTTATATTGGAGCTGCTTTGGTCCTTGGTGGTGTTGATAGAACTGGGCCTCACATCTACTGCATTTACCCTCATGGGTCTGTAGATAAGTTGCCTTATGCTACTATGGGTAAATATTATACTGTTTCATTTGAGTATTGTGAATATTTTGAAGCTGTTTATGTTTACTAATAATACAATTGTTTAATTTGTAAATAGGTTCAGGTTCATTAGCTGCTATGGCAGTGTTTGAGGCTGGTTGGAAGCCAAACATGAATGAGGAGGAAGGAAAGAAACTTGTTAGAGATGCTATTGCTGCCGGTATCTTCAATGACTTGGGATCTGGCTCTAATGTTGATCTGTGTGTCATACGTAGCTCAGGACCTGCTCAGTATCTCAGAACATATGAAGAAGCCAATGTCAAGGTATATTCTAATTAGACTTATATACTTGTCTAATTGTTTATTGATGTAGGATGACAAAAAGACTAATTGCGTTACCTATATTCATTTCAGGGCAAGAAACAAGGATCCTACAGGTATGCCCCCGGTACTACAGCTGTGCTGAAGCAGCGTGTCATTCCCCTGGAGGTTACATCTGTTAGTGTGTCCAGCCCTCAGCCAATGGAAGTAGAACCTAGCCACAGCCGCCGTTAACTTCATAATCTTCATATTGTATTACATTAAAATTGTTTACAAAATAAATGTAACTTTTTCTAACTGGAGTTGTTATTTTAATGAAATACATAGAGCATAAAAATATTTTTTTATTCTTCACATAAAATATTATAAAAAAATATGGACGGAATAACTTAGTAATACATTTTATGTAGTAGAGTATTATATTTATATGTTTCTTTCAGTCTATAATTACTAATAAATACAGTTTAGGAGACTGGTCTTGTCGACAAAACCAACCATTACATTTTGTTACATATCGATTAATTTTACTTATTCTAATTATGTTTATAATCATCAAGGCAAAGTGACAAGATCTTTGAAATGGCAGCTAAAATAAGAATTACACAAGATAACATTGTCAGCCCTTTTTATGGATTATGAAATCCCAGGTGTCCTTCCATCTGAGATTCAAAAGGTCATTTTCAGTCAAATCAATATTCCCATAGTTGAGAACACTAAACTTTTTAAAAGTAATAACTACATAAGCTAACCAAGCTGCAATACATAAAATAAATATATTTGTCAATGGACGGGTTTTTTCTTGTGATTGTAGAATAAAATATATGTGATCTATGACAAATGACAAGAGTAAAATTTTGAAAGTGTATG